CCCTCGAGGGCCAACAGCCGCCCGGTGGCGGCTCCGCACGTGCCTGGGCGGGCTGGGCTCTCGGGACCCCGTCGGCGATGCATGGGCGAGGGGGGGCCGATGCGCCCCCCCTGAGCCTACCCCCCCCTCCCCCCAACGTTGCCCCTGATCCTTCACTGCCCCTCCCCTTCCCCGCCCCCCCTGTCGTCCCCCCTCCCCCCGGCGGGCTGGCAGACTCGGAGGAGGCTCGCTCACCCTCTCCTGCTTTCTTCTTCGGCACGCCGCGGGGCGAAAAAGCTCGCGGCGTCAGTGGAGGCGGGCCGACGCCCACCCACCCCCGTTGCGCTCGCAGCCGCAGAGAACGCGATGGGCGACAAGGACGCGGAGGATAAGAGAGCCCGGCGGCGAGCGAGAGGGGGGGGGGACGTGAAGAGGGGCGGGCCTTCTCAGAAGGCTCGGGAGTCCCCCGGCCTTCCGGGAAGTGCCCCAAGCCTTCCTCGGAGACACCGAAAACCCCTCAGGAGGCCGGGGGGCTTCTCAGAAGCCCCGCCGCCTTCTGAAAAGAAGGCCTTCTCCTTCTCGCTTCCCCCCCTCGCCCGCCGCCGAAGAGCCGCACCAGCCACAACCCACCGCACAAGCTCCACCTCCGAGTTTCCCTCTCTTTCGGGGGCGGCCAAGAGGGGGGCGTCCAAGAAGAAGGGGTGCAAATCATGGCTGGCGGCATGTGCGCGGCCCCTTGGGGGGGGGGGCCGTAAGGGTGGTATCTTTGTGTAGGTGGCTTGTGTGTGTTTCCTGGTTTCTCATTTCCCTCTGCTGTCTCCCTCTCTCTCTCTCTCTCTCTCTCTCTCTCTCTCTCCCTCTCGTTCTTTCTGTCTGTATTAGTTTTTCGTTTGTTTTTGATTGAATTTCAATGAAAGGAGAGCGGAGCCCAGATGCAGAGGATTTCTATTTGGATTCTAATTAGATTCCAATTGGATTTCAATAGAAATGGAATGGATTCCGCATCCAGAAGATTCTATTGAAATCCAATGAGATTTCAATAGGATATCAATCGAAAGAGAACGGGTCCCAGGTCCAGAGGATTTCTATTTTGATTCTAATTAGATCCCAATAGGAATTCAATGGAAATGGGATGGATTCCGCATCCAGAAGGTTTTATTGAAATCAATAAAAACGCTGTGTTTTCCAATGATTCCAATTATTTCCAATATTTTCCAATAAAAACGCTGTGTTTTCAAATTTTCCAATGTTTTTCAAGGTTTCGGGTACGGCAACGCTGTGTTTTCTAGTTTTTTTATTTAAAAATCAATAAAAGCGCTGCGTTTTCCAATTGTTTCAATGAAAAATCAATAATAACGCTGTGTTTTCCAATATTTTTAATCGACAATCAATAAAAACGCTGTGTTTTCCAATCTTTCTATTGAAAACTCAATAAAAACGCTTCGTTTTCCAATTATTTTAATGAAAAATCAATAAAAAAAAAAAACGCTGTGTTTTCAAATCTTTTTCAACAAAAATAATTAAAAACGCTGCGTTTTCTAATTATTTTAATGGAAAATTAATAATAACGATGTTTTTTATAATAATAGAAAAATCAATAAAAACGCTGTGTTTTCTAATCTTTTTAATTGAAAATCAATAAAAACGCTGTGGTTTCCAATAATTCCAATTATTTCCAATATTTTCCAGTAGAAACGCTGTGTTTTCCAATTTTCCAATATTTTTTCAAGGTTTCGGGTACGGCAACGGGGCGACGCGCGATCCTTGCTGGAAAACCTTGAAAAATATTGGAAAATTTGAAAACACAAGGTTTTTATTGGAAAATATTGGAAATAATTGGAATTTATGAGAAAACATAATGTTTTCATTAATGTTTGTTCAAAAAGATTGTAAAACACAGCGTTTTTATTGATTTTTCATTAAAATAATGGGAAAACGCAGCATTTTTTTTTTTTTTTTTTTTTTTTTTTTAAAAAAAAAAAAAAAAAAAAAAAAAAAAATTCCATTAAAAAGATTAGACAACACAGCGTTTTTATTGACTTAACTTTTTTTTTTTTTTTTTTTTTTATATATAAAAAAAAAAAAAAAAAAAAAAAAAAAAAAACGTTATTATTGATTTCCATTAAAATAATTGGAAAACGCAGCGTTTTTTAAATGATTTCTGTTGAAAAAGATTGGGGAACCCAGCGCTTTTTATTGATTTGTCATTAAAATAATTTGAAAACACAGCGTTTTTATTGATTTTCGATTAAAAAGATTGGAAAACACATAGTTTTTATTGACTTTTGAACAATAGTATTGAAAACACATCGTTTTCATTGATTTTTAATGTCTTCACATAAAACCCAAAGGAATATTATAAAAAATCCATAAATACATGCAATAATAATTTGCGCGCACGCTTACGCCTTGAAGCGGTTCTAATGCGTTTCCCACATGTTTCCACACTTCTGGCGCATCTGCGGCGCCGCTGTTTTTTCTGGCATTTCGTGCTTTCACACAGATTCCCAAAGAATCTGAATGCAAAACCAAAACTACATGAAGTAATGATGTGTTCGCACGTTTACGCCTTCAAGCGTTTCTAATGCGCTTCCCACATGTTCTCACACTTCTCGCGCATTTGTGGCGCCGCTGTTTTTTTTTTCTCGCACGCATTGCTCTCCCGACCTGGCGCGAGGGCGAAGCGATGCCAGGCCGCTTCGGTCTCGGCACCCCAATCAAAATGGAGCCCAAACCTAAATACGCATCGTTGTAAAATATACAGCGCGCGTGTTCTAGATGTTGGCATTCACAGTGCGCGCGCGTGGCAATGTGCGTAACATATACTACATGTGAACGTGTGGATACGCATATGTTAGCTTTCTGGCATGGCCAAATCAAGAAACCATGCGCGCTTCTACCCGCGCTCTCTGCAATAGGTGCACGCTGACCTCAACCCGAGAAACCTGCCGACTCGCTCCCGCCCGCTCCCGCTCGGCTCCCGCAAGGCTTCTCTGGCGAAACGCGTTTCCACGAGCTGCCACACATTTTCCGTTCGTGCTCGCATGACAAAGATGAGCATCGATATCTTTGGATAAACAGCGAAGCCACTTGGACCTAGAGGCATGCAAGAGAGAGAGAGAGAGAGAGAGAGATAGAGAGAGAGAGAGGGAGAGAGAGAAAGAGAGAGAGAGAGAATGATAATGGGAAATACCGAAGGATACAGGAAACGAGAAAGGCAATGAGAAAGCTGGAGACACACACACACACAAGAATACACACACACACACAAGCCACCTACACAAAGATACCACCCCCACGGGGGGGGGCCAGGGACGTCATGAAAGAAGACGACGCGCCATGAAATCCGCCGACCCCTTGGGGATCATCGGCGTGTGAGATGCTTCCCCCTCCCCAAACCCCTCCCCCGGGAGCCCGGTCCGGTCGATTTGGAGGGGGGGGGGGGTCCGGGACGAGCGCTCCACGGGGCTTTTCCTGGCCCAAGAGGGCTTCAAGACGGGCCACGAAGCCCCCAAGAGGCCTCCAAGACGGCCCACGAAGGCTCCGAGAAGCCAAACGACCGCTCCAAGACGCCCACGATGGCCCCAAGACGGGCCAAGAGGTCTCCAAGACGGCCCCTGAGGTCCCAAATGAGCCTCCCAAGAGGGCCCAAAGAGTCAAAAATTGCTGATTTTCCAGGGTGTTTTTCGATGTGTTTTGCTTTTCCGCCTTTTCGGCTTCCCGACGCTCCAAGACGGGCAAAGAGGGCCCAAAGATAGCCCCAAGATGGCCCAAGAGGCCCCCAAGACGGCCTCCAGACGGCCCAAGACGGCCCCAAGACGGCCCAAGAGGTCCCCAAGACGGCCCAAGAGGGCCGATTTGGAGGGGGGGAGGGGGCCGGGACGAGCGCAGCACGGCCGGGACGAGCGGTTCACGGAGCTTTTCCGGGCCCAAGAGGGCCTCAAGACGGGCCAAGAAGCCCCCAAGAGGCCTCCAAGACGGCCCACGAAGGCCCCGAGACGCCAAACGACCGTTCCAAGACGCCCAAGATGGCCCCAAGACGGGCCAAGAGGTCTCCAAGACGGCCCCCGACGTCCCAAACAAGTCTCCCAAGAGGGCCCCAAGAGTCTAAAATTGTTGATTTTCCATAGTGTTTTTCGATGTGTTTTGCTTTTCCGCCTTTTCGGCTTCCCGACGCTCCAAGACGGCCAAAGAGGCCCCAAAGATAGCCCCAAGATGGCCCAAGAGGCCCCCAAGACGGCCTCCAGACGGCCCAAGACGGCCCCAACACGGCCCAAGAGGTCCCCAAGACGGCCCAAGAGGGCTCCAAGACGGCACCACGAGGGGCCCAAGAGGGCGACCAAACAAGTTGAAACTCTAGCTTTCTGCCCCCAGGAGCCCCAGGGGGCCCCAAGAGTGCCCCAAGAGGCCCCCAGAGGCCCTCACGAGGCCGCCCAGACGCCCCAAGGAACCCCCAAGAAGCACCCCAGAGGCTCCGAAACGGCCCCCGAGTGGCTCCAAAACTCGCAGTGTCGCTGTCCGCTCGGACCTCCCCGCGGAACTGCCCGAGACCCTCTGGCGGTGGCGGCGAACAGACACCAAACAAATATCACTCGCCTTTTCACCCCTTCGCAGCTTCTACTACCCCCAGATTGGCATAAACAAGGGGTCGGCGGTGTGGCGTAAGCCTAAGAATCTGGGGAAACATCAGAACCCACGCCATGCTGTCCACCCAATCCTGGTCATCACCCCCCTCTTTGCCTAGAGGTCTCCTAGATGGGGTCCGAGTAGATGGGGTCGAAGGGTCGCGCCGCATCGCCAATGCATCGCCGATGCATCCGCGATGCATCGGTGATGCATCGGCGACGTCGGCGATGCATCGGCGACGTCGGCGTGGGGAAACACGGGCTCCACATCGAGCCGCATAGTCGATGCATCGGCGATGCGGCGCGATCCTTCGACCCCATCTACTCCGACCCCATCTAGGAGGCCTGGATTGCCGCCCCCGACTCCTGCTCCTCCTCCCCATGGCGCCGGGCCGCCTGACGAGACCGAAGCGCGATGCGCCGCCACGGCCGCCCTCCACGAGGGCCCTGGGGCGTCGGGCCGGGGGCGCCGGGGAGCCGGGCCGCCCGCCCCCCGAGAGCGATGAGGAAGACAGGGCAGGACATTTCGAGGAGGAGGAGGAGGAGGAGGAGGAGGAGGAGGAGGAGGAGGGAGGAGGGGGAGGAGGGAGGAGGGAGGAGGGAGGAGGGAGGAGGGAGGAGGGAGGAGGGAGGAGGGAGAAGGGAGGAGGGAGGAGGGAGGGGTCCTGCTTCACTGGTTTACCCCAGACTTGACTTGTTCGTCGAATTTTGCAACGTTGGTTCACCCCAGGTACGTCGAGTGCTCGTATAGACCTACATCCATTCGACGTATGTTTCTCCTAGACTTGGCGGGAATTCTGATCTTGGAGTAAATCAGTTCTGTAGTCGATCACCTACTCGAACACTAGGAAGCAACTCCTGGAAGGCCTTCGTTAGAACGGTTGAGGGCTATTGAGCCCGATGGAAGAGCCGTGAAGCCGGATTGCGCCTAATTGCGACCAAGATGAAGCTGAATCAGTCGGGACTCAACAGAATCAAGTGAGCGAAATCATGTCGAATTGGACCAGTTTTCGAAAGCGGATGGATCTGCCAGCGCCGACCTCCCAAGAGTTGAAACCTAGAAGGCAGGCCACCCACGTGTGAGAGGACCCCGGGCCCTGCGTGCAAGAAGCGCTGGGGGCTGCCACCAGGCGCCAGGGCCGTCAACAAACACGACCCGGGATGAGGAGCTGTCCCGGGAGAGTGGTCCAGACCTCGGGTGGTCCACGCTGAGGCACGGAGGCGGCGTCGGAGGTCCGGGGAGAGGGGAGAGAAGAGCAATCGTGTTCATCGGATTGTTTTGTTGCATCCTCGGGGGACCTCGTCTGTCCGGTCGCGGCCCTATCCGCGTCGAATCCGTGTCGAATCCACGTCGGCCTCGTCGGATCCGTGTCGGATCCGTGTCGAATCCGCGTCGAATCCACGCCAAATCCGCGTCGAGTCCGCATCGAGCCCGCGTCGGGCACAAGAAAATACACCAATGTCGGGACAAGCGAGGTCCCCCGAAGATGCAACGTAAGGATTGGCCCTGGGGCAGGACGCCAACGAACAAGCGGCCGCAACAGGCCAGCAGCACATTTTTGTTGAGGCCTCCCAGATGGGCTCTGAGCAGGTGGTGCGGAAGGATCGCGCCGCTTCGGCGATACATCGGCGATGCATCGTCGACGCGGGCGATGCATCGGCGACGTCGGCGTGAAGGGACTCGGGCTCCACATCGAGCCGCACGGGCGATGCATTGGCGACGCGGCGCGATCCTCCGAACCCATTTACTCCGACACCATCTGGGAGACCTGGATTATTTTCCCTCTGGAGCGCGGCGGGGGAACGGCCGCAAAACGGCCAGGCGGTGCGCAAACCGGCTGCCCCGCGCCGGGCAGTTGCCAAAGACGGGCCGGAAACCTGCCCTCGGCGAGTGCGCCTCGTGAGCAGAGCCGAGGGGCGCATGCCATAATTTAGGAGGCAACTACTGCGAGGTCTTCGTTGGAAGGATTGAGGAGCATTGAATGAGGGAGCGACATCTCCAAACAACAAAAAGCGCTCAACAACCGCGGGGGGCGGGGGCGAAAAGGGGGAGGCCACCCCCCCACCGGTGCACGACAGGGCACTCCAAGCTCTGCTCGTGCCGCGCGCAAGGGGGGGTCCCCCCCCCCCGGCACTCCAAGCTCTGCCCGTGCTGCGCGCAAGGAGGGGGGCCCTCCCCGCGTGTCGGACCAATCCCAACCGACTGGTACCACGTACAACAGACCTGGCCACCTCGCGATCGGCCAAAAAAAACACTGGCACAAATCGCAACCGGCCATGTTGGGCGCACAATTCGGATAACAGTTGTACAACATTTTCAAACGATCCACACATCAAATGAACGTCTCAAGGGTGCACAGTCATTCTGAGAGTCGACACGAGTGCCCCAGTTTGAATTGGTACCTGTTCAAATTCAGAGATCTGGGAGCTGCCTTGTTTTGCAACAGCAATTCGCAACAACGCAGACCACCTCAAAGCAACAATGTATATATATATATATATACAGCACACTAGCATATATTCACAACAGACACCTACAGACTTTCCTTAACTACATATCAGCACATATCGAAGACCTGATGTCTCATCGGCACGGTCTCATTGCAAGCAGTAGTTCCGTAGCGTTTGTGGCTCAGTGGGTGTCTTGAGGTAAATCCCCAGGACGCTAAGTGGCGCTCAACCGGGCTAGGCCCACCCACATCAGTGAAACTTCATTTGTTGATCTCTGGTGCAAATGGAAAAAAGTGGTTTGATCTCGGGCAGTTGTGTTTCATCTTGAGTATCATCGTCGTTTTCCTCGGCCGTTTCTTCCTCCCTCCTTTCCTGCCGCTGGCCTTCCGCCGACCCCGTTCTGCTTCTGCCGCCCTCCGCTGGCCCCCCGCCGTGGCAGGGCGGG